TAATAACTAGAAAGCTACAATTTCTGGGGAAATTGTGTGAAGTGTTCTTGCCTCCACCAGTAGTCTACAACTGGAGTGGGCGGAGTAACTGTTATCATTTATATAGCACATTTAATTGCAACGTTGTTGCACAGTTACATTAAACCATACATGTATAAAAACATTAGCAGGTGTTCAAAAGGCCCTGTCTATGACATCACTTGCTGCTGCAGCCTGGCACAGGTCAGAGTATTTTGGCGGTTGCCATCTTCAAACGGTCGTATTTTAAAAACTATAAATCCTACAGCGAACAGCTTTATATTGTGAGAATCACAAGACCCAGACCTACATTTTGATGCATTGTATGTCTCTGAAGTATTAAAAACGAAGGCACAGTCGCAGTTTAGAAATTGCACTTAGAAATTTGAGCTTTGTAGAGTGAAGTTTCAATGAATGTCAATGGACGGCGTTAGTTGCAAACAAATGATTATATTACTATCAGGACTATGGCTTAGCCGTTGACATGTTTAGTGGCAGCAGGGATAGCTGAACGTTTTGATATAAGATTTGTGTAGGTGGGCCTGAAAATAAGGGAGTGGTGGCAGTTTAGAAATCATGTCCTGATTTTTCAGCTTTTGCCAGCTCCCACTCTAGCTTTGCCATTCATTCCTATGGGACAAATTGCGCCACAAAAACGACGATATTCCGTGAACCATTCGGCGAAACGTTCCACAAAGTAATAGCAATCCGATCGGGAACAATCTGCACGTTTTGGTCTATGTAGTGTAAAAACTGTGGGAGGAGTTAGGGTGGCAAATTTGGCTATAATAAGAATAATATATATGTGAGATAACAATAAGTGTTCTTGCAAGAACACTTAAATATATATGTGAGATAAAAATAAGTGTTCTTGCAAGAACACTTATTAATAATAATAATAATATATATGTGAGATAACATTAAGTGGTCTTGTTATGCAAGAACACTTAAATATGTAACATGCGTGATAATATCAGTGAATACTTAGTTTAACATAAGTATACAACCGAATGGCAATGTTTAAGCAAATCCAGCTGCTAAGAGCAACCAACTGTCAAGACGTAACATAATTTACGATAGGTAAACAATCTCACAGAAAGCAAAACTTCACACAGAATACAGAATTCCTCAGAGCACAGCTAGAAGTCATAAAATCCTGGCTATCGGTTAGATCCTGATTAACTCTTTCAATACTGGCTAGAATCCTTTTAGGCATATAATATCCTATTCTATTGCTATTTTCATTTCATTACTCATTTCCTGGAACCATCCAATAAGCATAATCTACCAGATTTTACAAAAGCCGAATTTAACTCTACATAAGATACAGTATCTTATTTTAGAGCAAATCAATAGACCTGGATAAAAACAGCAGTATACTAACACGTGATAAATATCACATTAATATATAATTATCTTGATTCCACTTGCAGAATGGAATGTTTATAGCTATATATTCTTTAGTCAACTAAGATTTCTAAATATTGAAATCTGACCTTGATTTATCCAGGCATATATCCTGCTTTTAGTAAATTTTTAATTAATTGAAATTAATTAAATAAAACCAGCATAATTACCAGTTATGTAGATGCTCTCATCAGATGATTAGATAGTCCCAGGAATGAATGGAAGTGTGCTTAATGTTTGTAAGGAGGTGTGCATGTGATAGACAATGTTATATTGGTTTGGAAAGTTATAGTAAAATTCTAAGTGTTCAATAGGTGTTTCTTGAGTTGAGTCAAAGAGTATGAGAGTTGAGTGTTAGTCACAGAGTGTCCTGAATATCTGTCCTGGATCTCTCTGAATGTCCGAATCTGAATCTCAATCTCTCTTCCCTTTGTCTTTACTTTTTTAAAGGGCCAGACTCTCTGTACGTCAGTAATTGATTGGACCTATAGGGCCCTGAAGGTGTGGCCATCATCTAGATTTTAATCAGTAGATGGCGCCCTTACATCACCAAAATTTCTTGTCCTTGAAAGAGTTAACTAATTTTGATGACGATTCTGACGTAATTTTGGCTTATCTAAATGGCCACTATAACTCAAATTTGCTGTCAGCTTTAAAGCATTTTCTTTGGTTTTTCCTAGTCTTGTCTCAGACATCATGGTGGCAATATACCTTTAAATCTATTTTCTGACACGTCTAAACCTTAATTTCACCCCTTGCTTACAATGGGACCTTTTAAGATTTAGAAAGTAAAATGAATTACTATGTGTTATGTATCACTAGTGTCTGGCTTTCTAGTAAAACTGTGAAACATTATTTTTCTATTCCACTAATATTTATTAAATAATATGATATTTCTTCATGAATATTTATCCATGAATGGTCTAGATTATTAACATAATACTGATTATATGTATTTACTATAATAGTAAAATAAGTATACAGTGGTTAGATGTGTATATATAATGTATATACTTGTTTCTGGACTTAGTGATCCATCCCCCATCCTTGCTGGGAGACTTCATTGCCTTGTTTACATAACACATTCCTAAGCTCAGCTAGTGGCTAGTTACAGGAAAAAAAATATAAAAATGTGTCTGTCTTGCCTGAAATCCAAAATGGAGTCAGGTTTGTTTTAAGTGTGATTGGCAGATAATTTCTATCTTAGCACATAATGTCTACCGATATAAATATTCTGACAATGTGATGTTTAGTCTGTGTTGACTAAACATCGACTGGAAATCTGTTTAGACCACATTTTATAACCTTGCTGGGTACGTAGCACAGATTGCTTTGCAATACGGAGAATTGATTGGCTTGCAAAGGAAAGGCTCATATATTTAACTAGCATTTTAAGTAAATCTGTACATTGGCTATCAGTCCTACCTCTTGAAAAAATGAGTGCATCGTGACAAGTAAACAAAAACATGGTGTAGGTGCTCGCTATATTTTTAGAGAGAGATAGGGGCTGCAGATTATCACACAAGATTTCCCCAACCTTGTGAAAACACAGAAGAAAAAAAGAAAAAGGAGATAATCTGCGCCAATGGTTTAGTGGAACCACATGTAAATAGAAGTATATACATATATAAATGCAACAGAATCTTGTTGATAGATGGATATCTCAAAAAGACAAAAGCAGAGATAACAAACAATTAAGTGTAGTATTTTTAACGTGTTATGGGGTAATATATTGTAAGGAAGGCTCACTCACACTTTCAAAAGCTATATAGAGTTCGGAGGTTGAAGGCGTGGACGGTATAATCCCCGTCTAAGGATGTAAGTACAGCAGTAGTGATGGTATATTCAACAGTGGTGATAGTGCTTTCCTTGGTAGAGTACAATATGTAAAGACATAAACAAGAATATCCAATAGTGTAATATGTCTAGTACATTATTTTCTTCTAAAAAAAAAAATGGTAGGTCTCTTACTCACATTTTTCAGAGCATGAACCTGCTCTAGTGTAGTGGAGCTTTAGTGGTATAATCCCCACCTGGGATATGCAGGTCCAGAAGTACAATAAAAATCAGGAAACCAAAGGGATATAAAGTAGATGCCAAATAAATAAATTTACAGGGATAAACTTTATTAAATAAACAAAATGTGTATATATAATGATATATGTTAAAATCCGAACTGGGTAAAAAGTACACTTACCATGTTTCACCATGGGGTTTCATCAAAAGTATGACTTAACTTTGAAATAAGTAAGATTTATATACATACACTCTGAATAATAATAATTAACAGATGATACAAAATGTTTCCTAGAAGACTTCCAGTGTTAAAATGTCAATTAGAGATGATGTCATGTTGTGGTAGATTTGTGGTTGGTTCCTCCAGCAGACCATATGTAAATCCATTATCAATTCCTGCCCATCCGAATGTTGGGAGAGTTTGTTCACAGCGGCCCTCAATATACCGCAATGGAGCGTTCCTGGCTGCGCGTGTGCGATGACATTGGGTCAGCGTGCATGTAAAGAGGAAATGTACAATTCCTTACTGCGCATATGTGCCTCAAAAAGTTTGTACACATCATAACGATCCTGGCCAATGATCTTTTATAGGAATAGCTACTATAAAAAAAACAAAAAAAAACACTGCAGATGTGGTGATTTAATAAAAATGTTGGGGAAAAAAGAAATGGGTGGAAACGCAAAGTGGAACACATACGGACAGCAGAAAACCGAATAGCAGACCTGATGAGAAAAGGAGACAAACACACGGAGCTATGGAGGCCTTGGATACTCTACGCCGCGTAAGACCAGGTATAGGACGGGACACGCCATAATACGAGAAACGCAGAAGAGAAGGGGGGACTGGGCAGACCAGATGGGCGACCGACTAAGCTTAGCCCTGAGGAAGTACCCCCTTCCAACTGTCCGCCCCCATTCCGCAGACCAGGCCCGAATGGGCACCCAACACACACACACAACGCCAGGCAGGAACCTGCAAAGGGGTAACTCACTGGCACAGAGGACAGGGAAACCGTAAGGGAGCAGACACAAACAAGAGGAACTGCCCCAATGGAAAGGGTAGGTCTCCCAGACAGAAGTGGGCACAATAACATTAGAAGGCTTAAGGATGCAGGGGCACAATAAACCCCAGTGACACACCCTGAGCACAGGAATGGCGCAAAAGTTAGGACACCGAAATACACTTAAACAATGATATACAGCAAGAAGCAAATAACGCGGACAGAACACACTATATTACACATCTTATCCGCTTATGTGTAAGAAACACATATTAAAAAATAAAAAAAGGGACACAACAAGGAGGGTACAAAGGAAGAGAAATTAAAACATCACACCCAGATGAAACTAGACAACATAAACTCAGATTTACAGGGAGTTAGATGTCACAAACAGGAGCAAGACACCAACGGACATGTACCTAGAACATATAGAGCCAGTAACAAATGGGCAAAAATGCTAGGAAACACGATAGAACACTCGACCAATAGAGATCAGACACACATGCACAACCACCAACAGGCGACATGAAGGAATTAGGGAAGGTCAACACAGCACCCAGACCCAGGGAATTAGACTCCCCGGACCATAAAGAGACTTACAGGACGGGACACCAACCCATGAGACCCGGGATTACAGCCAGAACACTGGGACCCAGAGAGAAAATAAAACCAGAGAGAGAAAAAGAAGCCTGAGGGCCGACACAATATTCCAATGTTGACAGGGCCTGCGTGCCCGCACGAATATGCTATTGAAATGTGACCATTGTTCTATGAATATATATCTAAGATCTGCAAGTCTACCTGTTACAGATAAGTTTGGAATGTCGGATTTTTCTTGTAACGACGACAATAAAAATCATATTTACAAAAAAAAAAAAAAAGAAATGGAATACTTTGTACCTACAGGGTCTCCATGCAGACTTTGATTTGTATAACTTCTTATAATTTTTATTCTACCAGTAAATATTTATATATTTTTTTTTATTAAATATTTTTTTTATTTTTGATGTATATTTATTGATTGATCCCTTTTTATATATAAATATTTTATATATTTATATCTATATATATCTATATATATATATATATATATATATATATATATCTTTTTAAAATTTATATATATACATATATATGTATATATTTTTTTTTTTAAAGAGATTTCTACGTATATGTTGATTGATTGATCCCTTTTTATATATAAATATTTTATATATTTATATCTATATATATCTATATATATATATATATATATATATATATATATATCTTTTTAAAATTTATATATATACATATATATGTATATATTTTTTTTTTTAAAGATATTTCTACGTATATGTACCTTATATAGCTTTTTTGGCTCTGTAGTAACTTTGTTTCTAGGTCCATACCATCTCCTCTTTTTTATTATTAGTGTTTATACACATCTATAGATTTGTACTGAGACCCGATTTTTATTATTTTTCTTTTTTATTTGATGTCCGTTTTCTATATATATAGCTCATATATTTTATCATTGCTAAATATCAATTTAATTTCATGTTCTAATACTTAATATGTTTTCTATATGGATCTCATGTATGTCATGATTTATGATGCACATATATCTTCTTCCGCCCGACATTAATGCGTATCGTGACTGACGCATGCACACAAACTATTTGAGGCACGAATGCGCAGTGAGTAAGGAATCGTACATTCTCTCTTGACGTGCACGCTGACCTGATGTCATCGCACATGCGCAGTAAGGAACGCTCCATTGCGGTATATTGAGGGCCGCTGTGAACAAACCCTCCCAGCAGTCGGATGGGCAGGCATTGATACTGGATTTACATGTGGTCTTCTGGAGGAACCAACCGTAAACCTACCACAACATGACATCTCCAATTGACATTTTAACACCAGAAGTCTTCTAGGAAACCAATTAGAAAGTTTTGTATCATCTGTTAATTATTATTAAGAGTGTATGTATATAAATCTTAGGACTAATGGGTTGCAGATTATAAACAATCTCCCTCCCAAAAAGACCTTGTATCCTTATATGAAAAAAGCTACTCTGCAATTATAAATATAAAAGTGGAGCGCAGAGAGCAAAAAACGAAAAACTCTTTATTAATCCCTCTTGGGGGAGAAACACACAGATGTTAAACAAACAAGTAATAAAATTAGGATCTAATTAGATAGAATCGACTAGTCCAAAAATAATAGTAATAGTAATATGGTCAGAAGAAATGCTATAAGTATGTGTGTGGCAAAATTGCCATAAATAGTAGCAAATTGACCAAAAAGGGGGGAGATACACTAAATGTAGCAAACTGAAGATCTTTAAATGCAAAAGTAAATAAACTCTATAATTGGAACAAAGAGTATATCAGGTACACAGAAGAATATATATGTGCAAAAGATCTACCAAAATATGTTTGCGACATTGCAGGAAAAAAGCCTGCAGTCTAAATAGCCAGCAATATAAATGTTAAACAAACTGCCTAAACAGCTGTAGGAGATTTGGGGGAAGGAGTCCCTAATATCTTGCTGGCTACTATAAAGTCTGAAACTGCTATGTTTATGAATGGGTTAAGCCTTCCCCCTAATGTGTTAACCCTAGAAGGACCTGGCACCCAGACCACTTCATTAAGCTGAAGTGGTCTGGGTGCCTAGAGTGGTCCTTTAATGATTTGATTGTATTTAGGTTAGTTTCTTAGCTTATAAATCTTATAATGTGATTACAGGGCCTTTCTACTGAAACATGCATGTTCAGTGTCTACATACAGTTGTGATTAATGCTGATAACACAGTTCTTTTTATTGATATAACACTGAGAAATTTGTATTTCCATATTGTATGCTTTGCAAATTTCTGGGAATAATTTGTGTATTTTTCCCTCCACAGGTACCTCAGCACTTGAATGTCACATCTCTCAGAAATAATTTTCTTCTCTGGTTCTACAGAAAAATGCACATTTTATAGTTTTTTTTTTTTTTAATCGCAACAAACCAATGCCTTTGCAGAATTCTGTTTTTGATGTAAATATATTATTATGGGAAAGCAATCTTTATTTTGTGTCTAAAGTACCCGTCTTTTTAAATGTAATGCAATAATATTATAACAATGCTGCCATTTTCCCACCAACAGCTTGAATTCTAGAAAGAGATTTTATATTATTAATATTGGAAAACTGAATAGATGATTGGGTATTTCTGATGGAAATTTATGATTTCTGTTTATTTAAAATCATTTTTGTGCCTAAATTGAGAGTGCTTGCGTGAGTTGTTCCATCACATTTAAAAATATATCGATCTATGCAATAACTGAAGATTGTTTAATGCATACTAATAGGCTCGGTAGCTAAATAATCTCACTTATGATTTACGTTTCCAGTATCAAGCACAGGAATACGTATATTGGGTAGTTATTTCTGTAAAAAGTTTAATCTTCTCAGTTATTTGTACATTTTAATCCGTAAATTTGTGCAATATTTAACAATCATATGCCAGGCTATCAAGAACTCAATCCGTTCTGTTATAATATGCAATATCTAATTTTTACTTGTAACAAATCCTTTAAACTTCTATCTCATCTCCATTACAATAGGATTGTGTCATCAGGAAAAGTTTATTTTGTTTCTTTTTTTATAAATATATATAAATATATATTTTTATTTTTTAAATTATGGAGCCAAAACTGTCAGATTTGGTTTAAAGGAAATTAAATATAAAAAAAATGAAAATGTCTCTTTTTGTGTGTATGTGAAGTATTCCTATATACTCCTGAGCACATTAAAATATTGTTTTATAACGGTTTTGATATGTTTTTGGGAAAAAAAATATTTTCTTCTGTTTTGACGGATACAAAGGATTTAGGTCACGTTATCAGAAGTAAATCATCTTTTTATATTTTAAAACATAAATTACTTTGTGACAGAAACATAATGGTGATATTTAATATTACATTTATTTCTCTAAAGTAACCCTTTAATATCAAATTCTAAATTAAAACCACTTTATTTGTAGTTACATCAATTTGGATATAAAGAAGAAATTTGTCTGAATGCATTCCCGATTGCCAAATATTTAGTTAGAATGGCAAAATGTCAATAGGTTTACCACATTTCTAATAGATTCCCTCTAAACAAATTCGGTAGATGGTAATTTAAAATAAATTCACCTACTGTTTACTGGGAAACCTAGGGAAAAATCACAGTGGACAGATATTTAATATTCTGAATTGAAAAAATATAATGAACTTTAATACATTTACTAAGCTCAATAAGGTTTTAATTAATAAGGTATAGTAGACTTCTCTATGGAGAAAACCCTTTAATAAAATGGGACCAATGACAGGTTTTTCCTAAGCTTCGTTTAGAATTTGCAACTATCTGTCTGCCTGCAAATTCTGTATAGCAAAATTCAGCACATTGGTGGTTTTTATTTCTTCAATTTGATATTTATTTATTTTTTTTAACATCAGTACAATAGCATTGTGCATCAGGTGTTTTTAGTGGAACAAGTAAAGTGTCAAAGATATGAGATATGATTATACGTTGTGGCCTCATACTGTACACGCATGTTCATGTGCAGGGAAAGTACTCTAGCCAATATAACAATGGTAGTTTTAAGAAGGAAATAGAGAGAATGGAGGTAATTTAGGTGGTTCAGTAGCTGCGCTATACATTTGTAAGAAATAGCAGAGACAGGGTTTTATATATATATTAAAACGGAAAAAAGTGTGTGTGTGTATATATATATATATATATCACTCCTTTTGGGGAGTAAATGACTGACATTGGGTCAAACAGTGACTCCAAATTGGCCACAACATCCATATTTCAACTAATACCAGAAAATCTCATACGTCCCACAGCTGTCTGGGTGATCTTTTTCAGGTGGAATTGGGTGGCTGCCATGCTTTGACATTGTTGGTTTTCTATTTCTTTTCCTTGGCTGGAGATTGAGTTTTTTTGGGGCTGTAATTGAAGCCATATAGTTATTAATTTGTTGGCCAGGCACACCTATATCTTCTAAAAGCTGGCTTATGTGTGTTAGTAGAAGACATCTGCAATCGAGCAAGAGCTACATAAATATTCATGAACTGAAGATAGTATCAAGCTAAGCAGAGAGCTCAGGGCTTACTTTGGATAGCTGGGCAGACATTAATACAGGCAAGGCTTCATAGAGAAGAATTTCAGGCTCTCAAGGGACAGACATAATCCTGATGTTCTTCCCAGCATTTAAATCCACCTCCACTATTGAAACGAGGTTCGCGTGGCAACAAATCGCACTGCCGGAGACCAAACCGAAAACGAGGTTTGGAGCATGCAATAACACATGCCTTGGGCCGAAATTCAAGCACCAGAATGCATATGGATCTTGCAAACCTGAAAAATGTGGGGGGGGGAGGCTAAAGTAAGCATGGTAGCTACGGGAAAAGCTGTATCTAGGTATAGCTGTACCACTAAAAGCTCCAAAGGATGACATTTTGTCCACAATCTGTCTTCCAAGTTTCTCTATTGTTTGGACAGCGATGGAGGCAGGGAGCCTAGCATGTCTGTGCTCCTCCTGGACAGCTCCCTCTTGTGCCCTGCAGTGAGCTGGCCACCGGATATGACGTCATCCCGGCATCAACGTCACTGCTGGGCATCAGAGGAACCTGTGCAGGCTGAGCACAGAGACCCCCAGCCCAGCAGCAACCACTGGCCACCAGCGACAGAGGATCCATTCCAGCCCTCCCAGCAAGGTAGAGAGACTGGATGGATCTCTTAAGTACTGAATGTATGAATGTAATTATTGTGTGTGTGTGTATTGTCACAAAGTGAGTTTGTGTGTGTGTGTGTAGGGGTGGGGGGTCTGTGTATATGTGTGTGTAAGTCAGTGATTATGTTTTTGGTTCTTTGATATTGTGTGTGTGTGTGTGTGTGTACATCTGTGATTATGTGTATACGTTTGTGTCTGTGACTGTATGTATAGGTCTGTGATTGTATGTCTGTGTGTGAACATCTATGTGTGTGTGATTATATGTGTGGTTAGGTGTGCATATGTATATACATGTGTATTTATTTAATAGATGGCTCATCCCACATAAGGATAACAAATGAGTTATCTACTAAACAATTTTAAGAAAAGGGCTTTTGAAGTTTTATTATATAAATGAATTATAGATTTTATGTGTGGCCCAATACAATTCCTCTGCATTCAATGCGGCTCAGGGAAGCCAAAAGGTTGGACTCCCATATTTTAGAATGAGGCATTGAGAGTACTCAATGTCCCTGGTGTAGGTATTCCTGCTTAACAGGCCGTTAACTAAACCCTACAGGAGAGAGGGGCAACGCCTGGAACTACCCTGATTAATTCATGATGGGTAAATCACAAAATAAAAATGTATTTAATTAAATGAAAAGCCTGCAGCTTGACTGGACAGGAAGAAAGACTGACCCTTAAGGGAGTGTATTTATTGGAATCTTTCTACTTGATGTCCTGCAAGCTCAGTGGAGGAATTGAATCCATTCGTGATGCTGGTGTGGTTGGCCAGGAAAATACTTTTAAAATAATAAATAAGTCATCTCCTAGAGTGCATTCATTAATCCCTTAAGGACTGAGGCAAGTGTCCACATTCTAAACCAAAACAAAACCTAGCATTTGTGTTTTGTTCCACCATCATTTAACGGTTTCTCTTTAAGTCTATTAATTCATATTATTTACTGTTTTATTTTTTTAACTTGAAGTTTATTGTATTCACAGCCATAAACATGTTTAACATATACAACATTGTGTTTAGATACAAAGTACATTGTACATACATGGTTTCACATAATTTGTGCTACATATTAACAATCAACAAAGCCAATTTCCCCAAAGACCATATGAATAGATATTTGCACCCTTAGACAATTGGTTGTTTGATATAAAATGTTTAAGACATCCTCTGTCATCAGTAGCCTGTGTCTCCTGTGATAAGTGGGGTCAATTCTGTTGGTGGCAATTTACACTTTATTACCATTAAAACTGAAAGTAACTGTCCGCCTGAGGGTCTATCAGTCTTGTAGTAATTGTGTCATCGGTTATGTGCTGGGGCTGCAAATACTTAAAACTTTAGAAAAAAATCTCAGAATATATTTTTAAAAGAACAAATGACTTTTTCTTTAAATATTTTGTATGCATACCTAACATAACCTTAAGTATGAATAATAAAAAAAAAAACCCACACATTTACTTATTATAATGTTGATACATCCAGTGCAACCAAAGAAAAAGATTAATGCATCAGTCCTCATTGTTAAATGACTCCTAGCTTTAGGACAGGGGTGCCCAAAAGGTAGATCCCTAGATGTTTTAAAACTTCAGTTTCCATGATGTTTTGTCATTCTAAAGGTATGCAAAGCATTATTGGAGTTGTAGTTCTACAAAATCTGGGTATCTACCTTTTGGGCACCCCTGCTCTAGGACTTAAATAAACATTTGGTAGTTAACATTAACCCTATACCACCCAACAACTCTCTACCAATCCTAACCGTATATATTCACCCTAAACTTAACCCAACACTATCCCTAACTGTAAAACAGCATTAATAATAACCCTTACCCTTGTTATAAGGGACACTCCCAGCTGATAACTGCAAATGTATAGTCCAGTTAAACATAGAAAAAGCTAAAAGGAAGGTCTGTGACTGCCATCTAGTGACTTCTTGTAGAATGACAATTTCCCTGTATCCGCTGATCACTCCGTGACCACAATTAGTAGATGGGCATGTAGGGCGACTCTGGTAGAGTCCCTCTGAGTGCTGTCAGGCTCACAATCACCGTGGCGGAGTGTGACTGTGCTCAACCACAATCAGTGAAAAGGATTTAAAAGTCCGTAGGCAGTTTTCGCTTTGAGCACTGCATTCAGCTCATCTGTCAGTCTACGACGACTAAATATGGTCCTAGATATCTCTTCTTTACATGTCTGCATCAACCATACACTAATGAAGACCGATTCGTTCAATGCTTATAGTTTTAGCAAAGAGATACTCCAAGCACATGAATGGCTATAGCTTACTGTAGTGGTTATGGCTCTTGTAAGCTATAGTATCATACTTCTCTAATTTTTTTTTTTTCTCAAACTATTATAGAGTCTCCACTTTCCCAACAACCAGAACCTACACTCTTTGTTCTCGTGGTTTGGCCAAATATTTATATGAAGAAGCTGCTATCCTGAGTCTTTACGAATACTTTTAGGGTTCCAGTGAGACCACCATGTTTTTTGTTAAACTAAAAGGTTTTAACTTCTAATCCTTTTGCACCATAAATTTAAGATGTTACAGAACTACAGCTCCCACGATGCTTTGTATTTTTTTTTTCTGAATGACCGCATCACGAAAGTTGAAGTTTTAAAACATTCTAGAATCTACCATTTGGACACCCCTGCTTTAAACACTGTTGTGCTACTTTATCGGTAGTGTGCACGAGACGTGTCTAGTCCAGGATTCATTTAATGATCCTCCACAGGTAAATCCCAGACAATTTGTTCGGGTGTAGAATAAAATGAATTAGATTTTTCGTACAAACTGAGAAGTATCAATACAGAAGTTTTGTGTGCACCCACTTCCCAATTCATGCTTACTCTTCATGTTCTGCTAGCATCTCCTGATTGCAATCCTGCACCCATGTTTGTAATGATCCATCTGTCCAGATCACTAATGATTCACAGCTCCCTCTTTATTATAACATTGTTTTGTAGAATGAACCTTGGAAGGGAATCTGAGCTTTTCTCCAAACAAAAAAATTATACTTTAATCTTCCTCTCTTTTGTTTATCT